AAAAGTTGGCACTCCTCAGTCTTTATGAAGCATAAACAGTATACAGAGTATGATATAAATACTGAAGTCTAAAAGTTAAAATGCTAAAATGTGATGTCACAGTCTTTTCTGTTTGGTACCCTTTCTATCAAGGCACATAATCCACTCAGTTTTCATCTCATATCTAATGGATTCCTATGGTTCATAGATATGCTTTAAAATATTACTGAATAAAAATAGCACATGTATTTATCTTTATTCAAAAACCTCTTAATAATGTAAGAAAACAAAACTCTTCTCTCAGCTCTTCTTCAGTAAACAGAGGGTTTTTTTTTTTTTAATAACTTCTGTCTACAATTTAATTATAGTATCCTGTAAAGTCCTGCTTTTAGTATCTGCTCTCAGAAGAGAACTGTTTGTCAAATTTCCATTAGGTTGAAGGTAAAAAATTAATGAGCCACTTACTTTAGATATTTCAAAACTAATGCAAGTCTATTAGTCATGCAGCACAAAAAATCAAAGATTTGGGTATATTTAATTATAGTTTAGGGTTCACTCGTACTTAGCATTTAAATACATTGCTTCATAAGCTTAATAGAGCATTCTAGAGAAAAATGGAATGCAGTTATTGATTTTTTTAATAACATAAATATATCTTAAATATGATTTTATTTATTTAAAGACTTTATCTACGTAAGTTAATTTTAGGACAAGGATAATCAGTGAATTGATAGGGTTAGACAGAATTTGAAAGTTTTTTAATATGTCTGCTGGGAAAGAGTATTAGTTATCTAGGGAGAAATCATAATTATATAGCAAGCATAGAATTATAATTTATTATTCAATTGTACCCCTACTCTGTTTTGTAAGGACTCAGAAAACCATTAAGATATAGGCATTAAGATTATTTTTCAAACAATTGTTGATTCTTTTTTCTACCATTAATTATTGAAAGCCTGTTATGTACCTGACAACGTGCTAGGCATTGTGTAGATGTAGATGACTTGGTCCTTGCCTTCAAAAAGTTATAGTTCAGAGGGAATAAACAAAGTGATTTTACATAGTGATAATGTTAACTGAAAGTAACAAGCATTGCAAAAAGGGTGCAGATATATCACACAGAGCTGAGGGTGCCAGAGGAAGCTTCACGTGGAAGATGACTTGTAACTTGGGCTTTGAAGGCACCGAGTGCTTTAGACGTGTGTGATGTATGAGAAGGACAAACGAAGTAGAAGGAATGGCTTAAGCGAACACATGTGGGATGTAGCTCATGGAGTACGTAAGGATAAAGCTTAACTAGGAAATAATGTTGAAACATAAGGTTTGAGGTTGTGATGGGCCTTGAATGGCAAGCTAAAGAGTTTGGTATTTGAATTGGGGAGAGGTGAAATCATACAGCATCTTAAGAAATTTCCACATTCATGAAAACTTCAAAACAGTAGACTGCACATTGAACATCAATATTATTTCATTATTTCATGCACATTAAAAGCTCCAAAGGTAATGGCTGAGAGAGAAAGTACATACTGGGAAAACCAGATGCCTATCCCAGAGTTTTCTAGCTAGTTGGAACAGACATTGCCTATGCTTTGAAACATGAATCAGTTTATCCTCAAGTGCAGCCTGGAGCGGTAGACTTGAAGCTCGTCACTTTTGGCTGAGAGGAGCTTCCTGTGGTCTGAAAATCCCCTTAGGTTTACCTCAACAGGCTGTACAACTACTAGCACCTTCTACATAAACGGTGCAGGGCCTGCTTCCCTGGCATGCCACCTGTGCAGTCTCACAGAGTCCCCTCTCTGAAGGGCCCCACACTTGTTTTAATGCTCTGCTGTTGCCATATTGAAATTCTTCATACTTTCCGAACAAGAGGTCCCACATTGTCATTTCACTGTAGGTCCTACAAATTATATAGCCACTTGTGGTTCCATGAATATGAAATCTGTTGGGAAATAAGGACCTACACTGTGGTCAGAATGCACTATCGTATATAGCTACATAAGGGGACAATGAAATTATGAGGCCAATACTGCTCTTATGCAAGAAAATATATCCTAAGTTGAAATCTTTATTAGTTTGTCTTCAAAGCCATGACTTCCATGGGGGCCACAGTCCTAAGCTAAATACAATATTTTAGCCTTTTGGTCTTCCAGATGATAAATTAAGGAAACACTTCCATAACATGTTTTATCATTTATAATCTACCTCCTCCTGTAGCCCGGATACCAGCATCATTGAGCTTTGCGCCCTCTGAAGTTCCACCAAATTAAATCCTGAGAAAAACTGTTAGCAATTATCTTCCCTAATAAAAGTTCTCAAAAATACAGCACTACATTTGGAAACATCACTTGCTTCCGGATAGAGTCATTGTGTTGTGTATTTCCTTTTCTGTGTCAGTAAAAATATAGAAACTGAATAAGTATTAGTTATTTCCTTAAGCATAGTTTATTCTCTCCATTATCTCTATTCTATTCATGTAATTTTTGTACTTCTGTTATTATAACTATTTTATTTTATTTAATTTTTATTTTTTGAAGTTATAGATACATTTAGTTCATTTAAATAGTCAAATATTTCTACAGGCCCAATTCATAAAAATGTCACCTTTCCTTCTCTTCCCTGTGTGTCTTCTGTGCTCTCTTTAACTTCCCTGGGCAAATATGTAGCTGTTTTTAACATCTTTAGTAGCTACTTACGTTTTATATTTACCTTCCTTTCTCTCAGTTATGTGTGTGTTTGTTTTTCAATTTCATCCATTATATTGACTTACCACTCTGAGAGATAAAGCCTTAACTCAGCCAGGCGCGGTGGCTCACGCCTGTAATCCCAGCACTTTGGGAGGCTGAGGTGTGCGGATCACGGGGTTGTTAAGAGACCGAGACCAACCTGGCCAACATGGCGAAACCCCATCTCTACTAAAAATACAAAAATTAGCTGGACGTGGTGGCGTGCGCCTGTAGTCCCAGCTACTCAGGAGGCCGAGGCAGGAGATTTGCTTGAACCTGGGAGGCAGAGGTTGCAGAGAGCCAAGATTGTGCCACTGCACTGCAGCCTGGTGCCTGGCAACAGAGTGAGACTCAGTCTCAGAAAAAAGAAGCCTTAACTTTCACAAATCCTCACGTACACCACTACCTGACTTTTCCGCTTTTCTCATTTTTTCCCAGAAGGGATCATTTTGTGTTAAGCCAACAGTCATTATTTATATTATTACGGCTATGTAAATGTTATTGTTCAATGATTAGATTTCTTTCTTGCACAACTTTTGGTCCCTTTAAGCTAATAGTTGTCTCCCATTTTGGCTTTCTCATTTTTCTTTATAGCTAGAAACTCTTCAAACATAACACCCTGATCTTACTGTAAATATTCTCTCAACATGTTGGTACATATCTGGTATTCTCATTGATTTGGTCTTCCTAGAGACCTACCTCCCCAGACCTGCTGATCACCTGCTATCATCCTCACTAGGTCTGCTGCCCATGGGCCAACCCAGGATTGCACTTGACTGGGATCTCTTACTTAAGAATAACAAAATCAAGTTGATTCGAAGTTCTGTATATGATTGGGATTTATTGTCTCGCTCTGTTACCCAGGCTGAAGTGCAGTGGCACGGTCTTGGCTCACTGCAACCTCGGCCTCTGGGTTCAAGCTATTCTCCTGCCTCACCCTCCCAAGTAGCTGGGATTACAGGCATGCACCACTATACCCAGCTAATTTTTTGTATTTTTAATAGAGGCAGGTTTCACTTTGTTGGCCAGGCTGGTCTCGAACTCCTGACCTCAAGTGATCCACCCGCCTCAGCCTCCCAAAGTGCTGGGATTACACGCATGACCCACCTTGCCGGCCAACATCATCCTCTTTTAAGTGTGATGTTCTTCACTGTATTTGGTGTCTCCGGGTTCAGTGTCTCACTCTGAGTTTTCTGCTGAAGTAAGGAAAGAACAGGCATCCACATTGACTGGGTGTGTGAGGATTCCAGAGGACAAGCCATTTCACAGTCAGAATTTCATCAAATCCTCCTGCTTCCGGTCTCTTTTGTAGCCCTACTCTATTAGGTAGCTGGTGTTGACAATTTCTAAGCCTTTCTTGGTTCAGTGATACAAATGGCATTCTCAGCTTCCCTACTAAGAACTAAGGTTTTATAATCCTTTGGATATATACCCAGTAATGGGATTGCAAAGACCTGGAACCAACCCAAATGCCCATCGATGATAGACTGGACAGGGAAAATGTGGCACATATACACCATGGAATATTATGCAGCCATCAAAAACGATGAGTTTGTGTCCTTTGTAGGGACATGGATGAACCCGGAAACCATCATTCTCAGCAAACTGACACAAGAGCAGAAAATCAAACACCGCATGTTCTCACTCATAGGCGGGTGTTGAACAATGAGAACACATGGACACAGGGAGGGGAGCACTACACACTGGGGACTGTTGGGGGAAAATAGGGGAGGGACAGTGGGGGGTGGGGAGTTGGGGAGAGATAGCATGGGGAGAGATGCCAGATGTAGGTGAAGGGGAGGAAGGCAGCAAATCACACTGCCACGTGTGTACCTACGCAACTATCTTGCATGTTCTTCACATGTACCCCAAAACCTAAAATGCAATAAAAAAAAAAAAACTTAGGTTTTAGGTTCCCCCTCAGGTCTTAACATCACTGACACTTACCTGCTTTCCAACTAGAATCTTATTACTATCTGTTCTCCTGGCCCCTGTACATTTATGCTTTTTCATTCTTTTGTTGTCATTTCAGTGGATTTTTATGGGACAATGGAGATGAGGGCATATGCGCAATCTGCCATCTTTAGCTAGGATACGTCATTGTATTTAGACTTAATTTATTGTTAAGCATCTCAAATCATTTTAATAAGTAAACAGGGTATAACTAAGGAGCGAATAAACAAATGCATAAATATAAATTTACTAGTCATAATTTAAATACTTATTACAGACAGCTTTTTCCACAGTGTTTTAAATTTCTGTTTACTAAGGGTCTCTTCCTTTTTCTTTTGAATACAGATGGAAGTTTTAGACAAAGCCGATCAAACCTCACCTCCCTGTTAGTACAGCCCATATCTGCCTCCCTGGTTGCAAAACTGATCTCTTCGCCAAAAGCTAGAGCCAAAAATGATGTCTGTAGCCCTCTAGAGCTTCCAAATAATGGTAAAGTATTTAATGTCTTTCTCTGTATTTTATAGTTTTTGTAAAGACCATGATCATTTTTAATCTCCGAAACTGGCATGTGTAGGATTATTATTTTCAAAAACATTGACTTTTGACAAAGTAAGCATTATTTTCTTCTGTGGCTCTTTAGCAGCATGTTTGGAAAGTAATTTTTATAAAGACTGAGCGTTGACCAAAATGAGAGATTAGAAAAAGAAACCATTTTGAACTGCTACAAAGAAAAGTAGCTTTATAAATAAAGCATTTTGTACATTCATGAAAATCTGCTTAACATAGCTTCCCGGTTTCAGCTTCAGCAGTCTCATTGCCTGCCAAGATTCAGTGGATAGCAGGCAGCTATCTGGGGTATGAAGTCTTTTAGTATAAAGCATTAAAGCCTAATTCCTGCAATTGACTAAAAAATCCCTCTGTCTATACACATCATTGCCTGAGAGGTGCTTCTTGTACAGCAGTGCAGTTTGTCAGGCCTTGACGGACCACGAAGGAGAAAACGGAAGTAGTTAAGCTACCTGTGGTGGGATGAAAGTCATGGGCTGCATCTTATTCCTGCTTCCAGACTCAGTAGTAGAGTTCTAAAGAAAAGACTCTCTTTGCAAGTTGTTAAATTTGTACGTATTTGCTGGGAACAACTTGTGGGCTCTGTTTTCTGTGTCCTCCAGGCTCAATAGTCATGTTTTATCTCAACTGTTTTTCTCTTGACAACAAAAGCCTACCAAAAAGAAAACATGTTGAGGAAATCTGTAAAAAAAAAAACTTAATACATTAATGATTTCTCTGTTGGGGACACATGCTTTACAAAATCCTATAGACTAACAGCCTCCTAAACTGATTACCAATTAAACAAGGTGGGAAAACAGAAAACAATAATAGGTCGATGTTCTCAAAGCAGGAATGAAGAAGCTCTCGAGGAGCTTTTTGTTTTGTTTTCTTCTGCCATTTATTCTGAGCCCAACAAGTTGATTATGGGCTCCATTTGTTAAAACATGTAAACGCCACCACAATAATAGCTTAGTTGTAAGAAGTGCTGGACTTGTAAAAGACCATAGTTAAGCCCAGATCTACATAATTAATTAATTCAATACATATTCAGAGCTCCCCAAGACACCCCAGACAGGGTCCTCTCCTCAAGGAACGACAGTCCGACAGTCCCCGTGCTGGCTGAATGTCCTCGCCTGTGTGGCCTCCCACTGGAAGCAGGTATGCCTGCACCCACAAAAGACAGCTGCACCTTTATTATCTGAAGTGGTTGTGAGAGCCCAATTATGATATGTGTATCAATTCTTTTGTTTATTTTTTGTGTTATATGTTATGTTACTTTTTTTTTAAGACAGGGTCTTGCTCTGTCATCAGGGCTACAGTGCAAGTGGCTTAATCATAGCTCACTGCAGCCTCAAACTCCTAGGCTGAAATGATCCTCCCACCTCAACCTCCCAAGTAGCTAGGACTACAGGTGTGTGCCACCACATTAGACTAATTTAAAAAGTATATATTTTGGTAGTCACAGCTTCTAACTAAGTTGCCCTGCTGGTCTTGAACTCCCTGGATCAAGTGATCCTCCTGCCTCAGCCTTCCAAGGTGCTAGTATGAGCCACTCTACCTGGATTAATTTTCTTGTATACTGTAAAATGTTACATAAATACTAAGAAGTATCTTTGTTATCCAATAACTACTTTTTACAAACAAATTTTTGAGACAGGTCTTACTCTTGTTCAGGCTGTAATACATGGCTCACTGCAGCCTCAACCTCCTGGGCTCAAGTGATCCTCCTGCATCAGCCTTCTGAGTAGCTAGGACTACAGGCACATGACACTATGTGCAGCTAGCTCTTAAATTTTATTTTAGAGACAGGATCTCACTATGCTGCCAGGGCTAGTCTCAAACTCCGGGGCTCAAGCGATCCTCCTGCTTCAGCCTCCCAAAGTGCTGGGATTACAGGAATGAGCCACTGCGCCTGACCTAATTACATTGTCTTAGCAAAGCAAGATGACACTCTTCAGCAGCATTTCCATAATAAATTAACAACAGGCACGAAGCCTACAAGAAAAGTTGAGATATACACCAGTGTTAAAATAAGAAAGGCAGGTCTACTTTCTAAGGGATTATGACATGGGAAAGCAAGAAAGATAGGCCTGCTTTCTAAGGGATTATGACATATGAAACTTTTCTCATGGATATTGTTATGTTTTTAGAAAATTCAAAAATATATTTAAATCATTGAGAAGACATTTCATGTTATAATGAGTTATTTATTTTTTAAAAGTCAGAATATACATTTAGATTTTCCAAATACTGACTGAGTCTGTTCAATTAATATTTGGAAAATCTAAATATGTAATTCCATATTAATGTATAATCCTACATTAAACTAAATTTAATTAAACCTAAATTTAATGTAGGATTATAACTGTTTACACTAATGTTTTGGACAATAATGCTCATAATTTATCTGACATAATTAGGTTTCCTTCTAGATATTATAAAACACATTAGTTATTCACAGTGATGTATATCAGGATGGGACATGAAAAGGAAACTGAAGGAAGTACTCTAATTTTAAGCAATAATAGCAATGCTTATTGTTTAAGGGTTAAAGAAATAATTTAAAGCATATTGTAATTATAACATATTGTTGACTTTTCTAAGTATAGTCCTGATCTTTAGTGTTGGAAAATCTTCACTCAACAAGTCTGGAAAGGGCACATTAAGAATCTGTGTGTGAATCCACTAATTATTTATCCTACCCATTTAACTCTTTATCTACACTAAATCAAAAAATCTCTAAAATCCAGACAAAAATGTAATAGAATTTTTCTAATACAAAATCAAGGACTATATTTAACAACTCCAGTGTTAAAGTGAGTAATTGTTCAAATTTCAGAAACTGAGTCTTGGTCCTGTTTTTCCAGACTGGGATTATCCTTGAACCAATCATCATAATATAGTTGATGGAGTCTGTCAATAGGCTTGAGTCAGCCAGAATCTATTTCTAGGAATGTTGTCAAAGCTACTCATAAAATACTGATGGAAAATGTTGGCAACAGTTCAGAAAAGGAAAGTGGCAAACAGATGCTGAGAAAGCAAGTGTAGTTCAAGAATAATACAAGTCTAGCTAAACAGGACCAAGACTCAGTTTATAAATTTTAAGCAATGACTTACTTCATCATCATTAGAGGTGAACAAGAAACCATGGGATCTTTCTCTAGCCATCTTGAGAGCAGAGGAATACATCCTACCTGAATAAAGTCAACATAGGAGGAATCAGATGAGTAAAAGGGAAAGCTAGAAATAGAGATAGAGAGAAGATGTGGGGAAAGATAGAGAGAGAGAGAGAAAAAAAACAAAACAAAACAAAACCCTTGTCAACATTATTTGAGCCCTAAATAAAGCCTTGTCTTAAGCCAAATCTATTGAACTTTTCATACATATGAATCAATACATTCCTCCTTTGTTTCAGTTACTAATGTTTGGTTTTTACTTACTTGCAACCAAAAGCTATCTAATTGATACAGACCATAACACTTAAACTAAACAAAAGAAATAAATGCCTTCATACATGAAATAGTCTCAGCAAATTGAAGTGGACAGCGGGGCATTTATATGGACATCACTGAGAGAGCTAAAAAAAAATATGTATATATATATATATATATATATATATATATATATATATGAGGAATGGAGAAAGAATCAAGAGAAAAGTTATTGCCTAAATAGTTTGCATTGATTAGATAATTGGATACTGACTCATTTCATTTCAAATGGTCTTTTTATATATAGGCCTGACTCATTCATTCAGCGTATTGTCAGCCTTTGTCTTTGAGGTTCAGTCAAAACATGGAAAACTTAATTTTCACATAGCAATCTCAGCTTTTAAAATTTATGTCTATAGTGATTAAAAGGGAAGAAGAAGCTTTAAAATCCATTATAATTTAGGGTAAAAGTATAAATCAATCAAGTTAAAATAAACATCTTAATATGTTTGATGATTCACTTATTTTTGAAAACATAACTGTTTCCATGTTGCTTAAAACATATCATCAGTGATGACAAAATTTTACATAAATAAATTTGCAGGATGTTTCTTCAAGTGGATATACTGTATATTTTTGGCTATGATTTCCTTATTTACCATTCTGTATATTTTTGATGAAAATTACTTGATTATTAAAATGACATAATGTCTAACTGATAATCTCGTGTATAATTTTTACATATTTCTAATGCATTTTGAAAATCTATATTCCCAATCTGTTAGTAGTTACTTGAACCAATGCATTATTAGCATTCTTTAAGTACAAATTTAAAAACATGTATTGAACGTATTATCTGCAAGTTGTAGTACACAAATATTTATTGACTTTTCGAGAATCATCTATTAACAGGAAATGTTAGTACACTTGAATGCAACATTATGTATTCTTTTTTTTTTATATTATACTTTAAGTTCTGGGGTACTTGTGCAGATCCTGCAAGATTGTTATATAAGTATATACGTGGTGGTTTTCTGCATCCATTCCCCCATCATCTACATTAATTATTTCTCCTAATATTAGCCCTCCCCAATCCCTCCATCCTCTGTTATCCCTCCCCTAGATCCCCACCCCATAACAGGCCCCGGTGTGTGATATTCCCCTCCCTGTGTCCATGTGTTCTCATTGTTCAACACCCACTTATGATTGAGAACATGTGGTGTTTGGTTTTCTGTTCTTGTGTCAGTTTGCTGAGAATGGTGGTTTCCAGCTTCATCCATATCCCTGAAAAGGACATGAACTCACCCTTTTTTATGGCTGCATAGTATTCCATGGTGTATATGTGCCACATTTTTATTATCCAGTCTATCCTTGATGGGCATATGGGTTGGTTCCAGGTCTTTGCTATTGTAAACAATGCTGCAGTGAACATACGTGTGCATGTGTCTGTATAATGAAACAATTTATAATCCTTTCAGTATATACCCAGTAATGGGATTGCTAGGCCAA